TTTATGATTTTTATTATTTTTATTGTTCTAAGTTTTACTATTTTTAGTAAGCTGAAGAGCACCGGTTTATAGTCGGTGATGCATCTTATGCAGCTGTAGTAAAATAAGATCCACGATATTCTAGATTATTGTAATTGTGACGATACAATTGTAGGGAATTATTCGATAACTTAGTTATTTTTATTCTTTCTATCTTTCTTAAATTTCTATTCTCTTTATTTTATTATTTTCATTATTCTTAGTTGTACTATTTTTATTCAGTGATTTTTATGAATTATGAATGAAATTAAAAATTGCTGCTCTTAGTGTTCCATAAACCTAATGTTACGGACATGAGCTATTTGTGAGAAACGAGTGTTATTATTAACTAACAAGCGTATTGTTTACCCCGACCAAATTTATTGTTAATATTTATTTAGAGATTAATTTAGAGATAAGTTAATCCATAATAACTTTACAATTCATTTCACTTGCCTTTATATTATAAAGTTATTACGGATTAACTTACCCCTAAATTATATTAACAATAAATTTGGTCAGTAAACAATATAGTAAACTGTTGATTTTCACGCAAAATGAGAACTGTATAAAAAAAAATATATACACATACAATTTGCAAGAAGTTACGTACGTCAAACTCACTTCCTCTTTCATTCTTGTCACCGAATTTCATTAATCGTCTAAAAACAGAGACTCGTAATTCAAGTCTGACTCTTCAAAACGCGTCGGGGTTTCTTAATTCGTTCAGCTTGTCTCATTCCGCTTCATCCGATTAGAACTCATCGGTGTAACATTCGCCGTACATTCGAAGAATCTAAGAATACTGTCGCTGTCGAATCCGACAGCTCGTTACGTAATGTCTGTTCTATTTTCGAAGGTTAGCCTTCCATCATCAGAATGCTTAAAGTCGTTCGCATAATTCCGGGCGATATTGCATTAACTAACAGGATGGGCCGATGCAATCTACCGCCGCCTTGTAATCGGTTCATGCGGCGAGCGTGTTATAAAGATAGCTTGACTCTTCTGCCCGCAAGGATGTTTACTCCTAGGCGCATTATTAGTTAAATGGATATGAGAAATCCATTAGCGGAACTGCGCCCGAAGCGAGGCCGGGTTCGCAACGGTGCAACGACCCTAACGATCAAGACTTCTCAACACTGCGACTTTACTGCATACTCGCGTTCTATGAATGTCGAAACGTCGTTCGGGAAACATTGATTCTCTCAGCACTGTAACCTTACTCGTTGCAATCAAATTTTCAGTTACTTTACACAATTTCGAGCTACAAATACATTCGTCTCGTTCGACGTTTTTCGGTTGGCTGAAATGATCCAAGTTATTCACTGATTTATCTGACTTCTTCATTGATCCATCTACAGTATTGTCTCTCTAATTGACGCTCGGATTGTTCACAAGAATGGACAATTTAGGGAGAAGAGATACGATTATTCGATCCTTGCGGTTCATATTTATGGTCACGAATTGTCAACGACTATAAAAACGAGCTGCAAGGCTGAAATTATCCAAGTTATTCACTGATTTATCTGACTTCTTCATTGATCCATCTACAGTATTGTCTCTCTAATTGACGCTCAGATTGTCCACGAAAATGGACAATTTAGGGAGGAGAGATACGATTATGCGATCCTTGCGGTTCATATTTATGGTCACGAATTGTCAACGACTATAAAAACGAGCCGCAGGGCTCGAACAATCGTATCTCCTCTTCCCAAATTGTCCATTTTTCTGCACAATCTGAGCGTCAGTTAGGGAAACATTACTGTATTCTCTGGATTTTTCTGCATACTGAAACTTCCCCGAATCAACGGCGACAACCAAGACCGACCTAAATAAATAAACAAAATAAACTGGCTTTCTACCTTCAATCATTTTGCTGATCCCGAAACGATATACATATTTAATCGTGACAAGAAAATCCCGAGAACACGTTCAACCATTATCTTTCACCGATCGGAACCAGCTATTTTGACCAATTCCTTCGATTTCTTCCGGTTCGCCGGACCCCTCCCCGTATCTCCGGGAATTTTTCGCTATTCCAGGCATTCGGCCAATTTGTTGTAAATCGGCCCGCGGAAGATATCCCGGTAAGTGTTTCGCAAATCGCACAAAGGGCTCAGTTTTCAACATCCCGGCAGCATTCTCGAACTGTTCCGTCCGGTTGATCGCGAAAGCAAATTTGCAATCGACAGATAATATAAGCGGAACACAAAGCGCGGGCGAAGATGTATCGCGGGGAAGGAGGAAACGCGCGTGCATATGTATGCGGAACGAGTACCGTTGCCCTACAAAACGGTTCTCCCGCGTTTAAACCGTATATTTCTGGAGCCGTCGACGCTGAAAAAGAACAAGCCCGGAGAAATCCGTCCGAAAGATATCGCCGGCGGTGCGAGCGTACGCGCGCGCGCGCGACTAGGGAAACTGTGCTTGCATACAAAAAAAAAACAATCAATTAAAACGCAGTCGCCGGAATTCACGTTTCTCCTCGGAGCACGTAACGCGTCGGAAATTCATAAAACGGAAATCATTAAATCGAACTTTCGGGGGAGAGCACGGCCGTACAAAAGAGGAATCAATTTTACAGAGAGACGAAAGGCTGGCCGCGATACTCGTATATTTGTTCTGTTCGTTCGATCCACATTTTTTCACCGGAGCTGGAGAGAGGAAACGAGAGAGAAAGAGAAAGAAAGAGAGAGAGAGAGAGAGAGATATTGTGTGTATGTGAGAAAAAGAGAGAAAGAGAGAAAGCGAGAGATATATTGTGTGTATGTGAGAAAAAGAGAGAAAGAGAGAAAGCGAGAGATATATTGTGTGTATGTGAGAAAAAGAGAGAAAGAGAGAAAGCGAGAGATATATTGTGTGTATGTGAGAAGGAAACAGAGAAAGATAAAGAGAGAGATTGCATATGTATGAGAAAGAAAGAGAGAGATTCTATACGTGTGAGAAAGAAAGAAAGAGAGAGAGAAAGAGAGAAAGAGAGAGATATTGTGTGTACGTGAGAAGAAAAGAGAGAAAGAGAGAGAGATATTGTGTGTATGTGAGAAAGAAAAAGAGAAAGAGAGGAAGAGAGATTGCATATGATGAGAAAGAGAGAGACTGTATGCGCGTGAGAAAGAAAGAGGGAGAGAGAGAAGGAGAGAGAGAGAGCGATGTTCGTACGTTCCTTTGTGCCCGGACGTCCGACTGCACGCCCGAGGGCAAACAATGGCGGAAATTATTGGAACATCGCGGGCAGTTCATCGTTTCCGATCGTTGTCCGGATTCTAGGAGCTGTAGCACGCGTCGAGCAACAACCGGCGCCGCGTTGCATCGCGTTGCATCGCGTTGCATCGCGTAGCGTTCGGTCGCGCCGCGCTGCGTTCGGTTGCGCAGCGTTGCGTACAGTTGCATCGCATCGCATCGCATCGCGTTCCGTCGCGTCCGCACTGGATCAACGTACCTATTTTCTGCGGCCGCAACACGACGCGCGCCTCGGTTTACAAATCCGTCGGTATCGATTTCCTATTAGCATCAGGTAAACCGCCGTAGCGTTATTAGCCGAGACTGGAAGGCGGTCGACGCGCCAGTTGCATTCTAGACCTACGGATCAGCCGTAAGAGTTGCGCTTCGACGCACACGTAATGCACCGCGATTAGTCGAATGCTACTACCGTTCTAGCGAAAAATCGTCGTTCGCGTCCGTACCAACGCTTCTTGTTTGTACGAGCTTTTGGACATCGATTGCCGTGTTAGTAGTAGGGCAGCTTTGCAAACGTGTGTGCAAGTTCGAATAGATTTTCTTCTTTTTTTAGTCGTTGCTTTTGATATTTATTAGGTCGGAAACTATGAAACGGGCGGTCTTGTTTAGTCTGTGTTCAGCTGCGATTGAGAGAGGTTCATTGTAATGCGCGCTCGATATTTTTATTTATAAATTTTAAAGGTATTCTTCTTACTGTCATTTCGTAAGATTTGTTCGTGTTTGTATCCTATTTTTATTTGATTTTTCTCCGAAAGCAGATGGAAACAAAACGCGATTTACATCTAGTTTTTTGGTACGAGTTCAAATTGATAGATAGCTATATAATATAGTATAATATAATATATAATTGATTGATACTCGATAGCGTAGCTCAAGCTTCAAGAAACATTAATCACACATTCGGAGATGGATCCACTAATGAAAAAAATGCTCGATTTTGGTTCCAAAATATATATAATGTACATATATAGATTGAATATAATAAATAATGTGAAAAATTGCACTTTTCCAACAATAACTTGCGATAGGGTAACGAAATGATTGTGAAGAATTATTGCGGCACCAGAATAGTAAAATATATATATAGTTCCATTTTACTTGTTTTTAAACAACTTCTCCGTCTCTTGTTTCTTTCATTCTTCATTTTCTTCCGATCTCCTTCTTGTCGCTTCTAATTTGATTTCTTCTAATGTATAGTAAAAAACGAAGTTCAGAACATCGAAGGAACATTAAGGATTCAAATTAAATATACCAAAGTGGATTACAATAGAATTTGATCGTATCGATGCCACAATAATTATATGTTGACATTAATTCACGTTAGTCGAGTTAACCACTCGAACAGTGGACCGCGAATTTTTATGCATTCACGACAAAAACGAATGAACATAACCGAAGGGGAACCGCGTTCGAAGACCTTAAAAACGCTGTTGCGTTCATCTCGACTGCTTAAAACTGTTAAAAAAGGAAATAACTAGCATTTCCGTAGCTCTTGCATCTTAAAATAAATCCAGACAATTTTTCCTTCGCACTGAAAAACCGCGATCTACTAATCGCGTTTCTCAAGCAATTAATTTCATCGTTGCGAAAATTTTTCTACGAAAATTTCATATCGCGCTGTTGTTCGAAAGGACGATAAATTCTTTCACGATCGAGGAGGGGGGGTGGTTACATCGTTTACGAAGCGTATAAAGTTAGAATATATCGACGATATCGATGTTGCATTAACCTTAATTACGTTCCAGCATTGATGCAGATATGGAGGGCGGCTAACGATTCTGGCCTGCTAATGCTGGACACGTTTACACGCGGACATCATGTGTCAGTGCAGATTGAACGCGATGCGAAACCGGAGAAGCAGAGCAAAGCGTGCATGCGGGATTTGGGGAACTGACCGGAAGCAGCCGTGACCTCGAAGGTCGAAGGGTTACCACTCACGTTCCACGGTGACAAGTAATCGAACTTTTTCGATCATCGATTCCTTCCTTCTGCATTTTTTCCCCCGTTTCGATTTCCGCCGCGTCGAACATTCGTTTTTCAGGGAAAGTTTACAATTTACCCGTCAATTTGCGCAAGTCGTTCGACGCCGTTTAATCGTTATAATCGAAACGGATTTCTCTCTCGCCACGTTGCATAATCGCGCATTAATTTCAGCGACCTTTAACTTGTCCGCGGTCCGCGCGGTAACGCGGCACAATTAATTTCTATAATACAGCTAATGCCAAGTAACCGCGTCGAAGTCAATGAAATATTATTGAACTGTATAATGCGATTTCGTTTAACCGACTACTAATTCGGCCAGGATATCGCGGTACGTTCTGCGGTGGTATTTGATTCTGCGTGATGGCCGGGCCACGCAGACGATCATTTTAACGATCAGCGTGTAACAGAGGACAACGTTAATGGCGTTATTAAACTTGCATGAATGAACGAATTTTGGTCGGTTTAATATCGGAGGGTCTGCGTGTCGATGATAATGCGCGCCGATGTGGCCATTCGTGGACACTAAGATAATACTTAACCGACCAGAAAAAACGCGACGTTAACACCGAGAGTCCAGCATGCCCGACAAAATGGCCGGTCTCGCTTTTTTCGTCTTAACGCTATGCCGCCCGGTGGCACCGCGCTGGTGCCATGCAAAAACTATCTGTTGTATGCCGGTGGTAACACTTTGGTGCCATTTTAGAAAACTGAAATAACATTTGAACTATATTTCTTGGGTGTTAAAAGGCAACAAACTAACTGTAGCATTGTGCTCATTTGACTAAGAATTAAGTACGAAAATTCTTGGATGACATATCTTAATTTTGGGAATTTATATTATCGTCATTTCTTCGTAATTTTATTTAAAATCTAAAATTTCCTAGCTATTACGCCGGCGTCGAACAAAAGAATCATATCTAAGATCTGCGGACGGCATAGTGTTAAAATTGCTAGAATTACTGAAAGACAATTTCGTGGGGAAATACAGTAAATTCTCTGAAATTGTTCTTCAACTTCTAAACAAACCTGGACAATTTTGAGAAGAGAAGGAACGATTATTCGAGCCTTGCGGCTCGTTTTTATAGCTTTATACTATAAAAACGGGGCGCATGCTCCATTTTTCACGAAGCTCCTTGCACAAGTCGAAGGACAACTGCGGAGAATTTACTGTAATTTAAGCGGAGAAACTGATAACAGATTTTAATAGAAATTATAACAAACGTGGCGAGAAATTTCAATAAACCTGCTCTTGTCGCGTAAAACACGTTAGCATTATTTTTATTGTGCTTTTATATTATGCGATTCCTTTGTTGATAAAAACATACCAATTTCGTTTGATTTGAAACGCGACATGCGTCTATTTTATTTACAGAAATCCTGTGTCCCAAAGAGTTGAACAGCGACGAGCTAAAATAGCAAAAGTCGGAATGCAAAATAGCGCGTCGAATTTTTCACGGAGCATCGTCGGATATACAGGGTGTCCAAAAATGTCTCGCAATCCGAAAGTGGCGGGTTCTTCAGGTCATTCGAAGCAACTTTTTCCTTTACAAAAATTTTCTCCGAGGCACCGTTAACGAGTTATTAACAAAACAACAGTGACCAATGAGAGACGAGCTCGGCTGGCGCGAGGCGACCGAGCCAATGAGCGGAACTGGGCTCCGCGCGCTGCTTGGCTGGGCCGCCTCGCGTCAGCCGTACTCGATTCTTATTGGTCACTCTTGTTTCGTTAATAACTCGTTAACGGTGCCTCGGAGAAAATTTTTGTAAAGGAAGAAGTTGCTTCAAATGATCCGAGGAACCCGCTGTTTCCGAATTGCGAGACATTTTTGGGACACCCTGTATAATTCGCAGAGAAATCGAATCGGGTCGTGAGGAATTATTCTTCGGTAAGCAATCGATTCGTGTCAAGATGGTTTCAATGTAACTCATTCGTAGGGAACGCGAGTGGTATCCTCCACGGATCGGTTCGCCGTGAACAGGTTCGAGAAGAGGAATCAACGTTGCCGATACGCTGCTACTCACCGTCGTTGTTTGTTCGTGCACGTGGCGGCGATGAGCTGGCCGTTGGGAAATTTCGGGAGACGTTATCCCTTGGCTGCGGTTGCGGCCCTTCGAGGTTCGGACTCGGGCTGAATTCAGCCCTGAAATCTGCCCTGTCGAAGCCCTCCTCGAACTCGTGAATCAGATCGATTTCATCTGGCTCGACGTCGCCCTCGTACTGCTCTCTTAACACTGCCCTCGGCACTGAAATATGGAACACAACCTTGGATTATTTACCGTCTAACGTGCGGGGAAATTGCGCCGAAAAATCACGCGGCAGGAACAATTGGTATCGTTGCCGTGTAACAAGAGCGTGCACGGCAATGGAGTCTGCTCGATGTTGATTGCAGCGAATGTAAAATGGAACGGTACGTTGATATTTCAGAAACTGCGGTTAATAGAAGAACAGCAATAATTCTCGCCGCGTTGCAATTGTTAGTTCGCGCGAAATTGTGGCAAATATCGATTGTTAAGGTTGCGAATTGTTCGGCGAAGTAGGACATTTACATTTTGGAAATTAAATTGAACTGTATCGGAATTCTGCATCGAGTCAGTATACGTGTGTGCTCTCTTAAGGAAAATTAATTAAATATACTGATAGAATCGTACTAATTACATTACGTAATGATTAATTAATACAACAGCTATCGGTGTGTATCGAGAGAATATTTTTAAAAAAGTAATTAAAAGACAGCATTATTCTTAATAATATATTCTTCATATATATATTGTATATAAAACAACATATGTATGTATACTGTATGTATATATAACGTGATACCGAATATTTTCTTTAGAATTACAGCAAACAGCAATTGCAATTTTCTGTTTAATTAAATAAATAGAAAACGTGATTCTCGAGATGGAATATTTTCTGTTTCTATTATTAAGGATATATTATTAAGAATATATTAAGAATATATACGTATATATACTCTAATATATATTATATATATTAATATATCCTTAACAATATATTCTTAATAATAGAAACAGAGGATATTCCATCTCGAAAATCACGTTCCCCATTTATTTAATTAAAATATAATATAAATAAGTTTGCTGTAATTCTAAAGAAAATATTCAATATCACGTTTCTAATAACAAGCAAATAAATTAATTAAAATAAATTAGGTATACCGTCGACATTTATGCACATTTGCATGGCCGTAACATATTATACATGAAGGAGACGTATTTGTATATGCATATATGTATGTATGTAAGTGTGTGTCCCTATATAAGAAGTAAATTTACAAGTCCTGCCGGTGAATATGCGAAATCCGTGCAGCGGATATTTCACGTGACATTCGTTTCTCTCCAGGTTTCCCGGTGATTAATGAAGTTTTTGCCGAATGCAGAAATTTCCGGCGCGGGATAGAAGACGGTTCTAATTAGAACGATTAATTGGAAGTGAAATCTGAAACGGGATCTTTAACACCGCGTGGAAAGGCGGACGGCGGCGCGTAGCCGGCTCGGTGTTGTTCGACCGATAAGATCCCTCATTCTACATTCCGACAGTGGCCGATTTATTTCCAGCCGCGCGTATGTTCGGCTGCGGTATATACAGGCCGGGGTATCGATACCTCGTATCGAGTATGCAATCGCATTTCACGCGGATAAGCACGTAGACACCAAATCAAGGCCTTCCATTGACGCGTTGTGCAACGTGTCTCGAATAACACTGACAAACGAATATTTCCAGCTGGGTCTGAGCGCCGCTGATAAGAACGATACATCGATCGAAATGTTCCCGGCATTAATTAAAACAAACAGCGAATTATTGCGGCCGATGATCCGGCGCGCAACGACGATAATTATCGGCCATTCGTTTTCGAATCTTTCAGCGAACGCCGGAACAACGAGGCTTGCTACAATTTTTGAAATCGCGAACTTTCAACCGGTTAGATGTTTTCTTTTTTTATCGGTGTACTCGTCTCATAAACAAATTGTCGTCATTTCTTCGCGACGACAGTACACTTCGATATTCTTTATTGAATTATATACTTCATAGAAGACGCGTTGCATTTGAACGAAATGTGAATGAAAATCAAACTTACAATTACCTGTCTGCGGATTTGATGCGTTCATCGGAAAAATTCGCGTTGATCCATTGCGAAACAGTAAAATTGTTTAACACTGAACCTACCACAATCAAAACGACTGATTTTTTATTTTACGATACTACGAACTTTGGAGACTTCTTCGTAGGAAATGATCGAACAAATTATATTATTGATACAAGTCTCATAATTAAAACTTTACAAAATCCAAATGAATTATATCTTTTCGCTCTTACGAATTAATGCACGCTAGTCGTCATTACTGCTCGGTTGGTTTAGTGTTAAAGAGTCGACACAACTGTCGTTCCATTATTTCCAAGTGATTAATGTTGTCGCGAAAAGAAACGAATGTCTACGTAGCTCTTTTATCTTGAAATCATTGTAGACGATTTTTACTTTGCATAAAAATCCTCTGTCTAATAATGATAACAATAATCGCTTGTAATGATCATTTAATCACTTATAATCACTCGTAATCTCCTCCCAAAAAAGCTGAAAAAAATCCTCTGTCTAATAATGACAACAATAATCGCTTGTAATGATCATTTAATCACTTATAATCACTCGTAATCTCCTCCCAAAAAAGCTGAAAAAAATCCTCTGTCTAATAATGACAACAATAATCGCTTGTAATGATCATTTAATCACTTATAATCACTCGTAATCTCCTCCCAAAAAAGCTGAAAAAAATCCTCTGTCTAATAATGACAACAATAATCGCTTGTAATGATCATTTAATCACTTATAATCACTCGTAATCTCCTCCCAAAAAAGCTGACGTGCTTAGAAGGAGTACCATAATAAGGTTGGAAAAAATTAGCAAATAAAATCACGGATCACCCTGAGCGCGTGTTCGGGGATACGTTCGTCGAGCAAGTTCGTCGTTCGGCTGTCAAAGAAACAAGAAACTAGTTCTCGCGAAGATCTCCACGGACTTCTCGGACGAAATTCATTCGTTCTTCCGCGGAACGGATAGCTCGTTTTCCGGGAGTTGACATTTGAGTTGGAATTTTCGGCGGAGCTTTTCTCTGATTGTTCGCTGTTTACATTAGCGAGAGAGTCCGAAATCACGGCGGCGTGTTATCGGCGCGGGCTAATGGCGGTCCACGGATACCGGAAGTTCCAGACACCGTTGAATTTCTCCTGGGGGAGGCCCGGTTTTTGCCACTTGTCGGCGAACTTGTCCCCTTTAAAATGCAAAAATATGCGGCGACAAATTCATAGAGGCGATTCCGGCGGCCTTCGCATCGAACGAAAATACGCTGTCGACGTCCTGGGCGAAGAAACAACACCGGGACGAAGTAGAAACCGGGACTCGCCTCGAAAAATACCGCGCTCGTGTGTTACACGGGATATTACACGTGTCTTGTCCTTCGCGAGCAACGCTTACAAGTTTCGGGGACACCGCGCGGCTCGCGGGAATCCGTTTTGCCGAATGCAAATCCGCGCGAAAATAAACAGAGCGACGAGCTTGTAAGCTCCGCGTCGGATAAAAAAAAAACAAAAGAAAATAAAGCAGGATTGTTGCTTTTACTTCCTACGCGGCGCCCTTACCTCTCCCGTTTATTTTATCGAGGCAACGTCCGGGTAGATTTCATTCGGTGTCGTACACGCGACTAGCTAACTATAGATTTAATTACAGAACGCGGGAGCCGTGCGATAATAATTGAATGCTGCCTTAATTTCGCGAAATGTTCGTCCTGGCTGTATACAGCAGTCGGTTCGCGCGATAAACTCGCCACGAATTCTGTACTTTGTTATTTACCCGTTCGATTGTTCGATAATATAGTTAAGATAATCTGAAATATTTCAGCGGTGATATAAATGTTAATACTTTCGCCGGCAATGCAATTTTAGGAAAGATCCGGGAAAGTATCGGAAGAGCTTGAAATTTCACGCCGGTTATGGCCGTCCGTTCGTCCTGGTTTAGACAATAGTCATAAATCTGTGCTCGTGTGCTCGTCATAAATTTTCTAGTCCGTTATTTATGTGTCGAATTGTTCGACGAAACGGTTCAAATAATCCGAAATATTTAACTGTGGGAATAAATTTTATTACTTTCCCTCCCCGGTGAGATCTGATTTCAGGAGAGACCCGGGTGGAGGAGCTTAAGAAAGCTCTGTAAATCAAGCTGCACGATGCCAAGCTGTTCGTGGAAATAGATAAATGTTTATGCGACGTGCTCGCTCGGTAATTGATAAGGAATAGTTTTATTTCGCATAAAAATATTCGTTTGTCCGGTTACGAGCTCTTCCGAAGAATCGGACGTTCCCGTTTGAAGCTCTTTTGAAAAGCTGTCCCTTCCGTTCGATCGAGCGACTCTGGGATCAAATTTTTGTCGACCAATCATCGAACTTCGAGCACACTTTTAGCTCGCCGATGGAATTTAAGTGACCGCTGAAATCCGGAAAGCCGAGGAAAAAAACTTGGTCGCTTGATCCTTGAATGGGTTTCGCGAAGATCGAGTGTAGTTCTCCCGCTTTGAAAGAGAAAAAGGAAAACCGTCGCGGTTAAATTAGCCGGCGTTTCGGAATTTTATTAAACTCGGCCAAGTAATAAAAGACGGCTTTCAGTAGAGACGATATGCATCCTTGAAATTTCGTACTCCATGTAAAGGAACAACCTTTATCCGTCCGAGGAGAGAGAGCCGCTTAAGCTTTTATTACACCATCATACTGCATCCTAAGATAAAGTAACTCGTTCGGTAGTTTCCCCTCCTCCCTGCCCCCTCCCTCTAAAGAGGCATTTATGGAAATCGTATTTTTTTAGGTGCCCCATCAATCTGTCTGGAACGGATAAGAAATTTTAATAAAACCGGAATTCTTGAACAGAAGTGAATTACCATGGAAGAACGTTTCGCCTGATGGTGGTTGAAGTGTGCCGGGAGAAATTAGAGCGTGCTTAATCGCTTCTCGTTGAAAAATTCGATGAAATCCGGACCACCAGTAATCATAGATCCCGAATGAAAATTTCTCAACGATTTTTTTCAACGTTTCGATCGGTAAGCGATAATCAGTTCGCGATCGTTCGCGTCGTTCGATTACCATAACTCGACATTTTCTGTCATAAACATTTTCTAGTCTCTCTCTCTCTCTCTCTCTCTCTCTCTCTCTCTCTCTCTCGTTTCTGCTATAAAATACTATACAGGGTGTCCCAAAAATGTCTCGCAATCCGAGAATGGGAGGTTCCTGAAGTAATTTGAAGTAAGTTTGTCTTTGGCGAAAATGCAATTCACAGTTTTGTTTACAAGTTATTAACGAAAAAGAGTGACCAATGAAAGGTCGGATATGCTGGCGCAAGGCAGCCGAGCCAGTGAGCGGAACTGGGCTTCGTGCGCTCATTGGCTCGGCCGCCAAGCGCTAGGCGAGCTCGCCTCTCATTGGTCAGTGTTTTTCGTTAATAACTCGTGAACGAAGCCGCAGATTGCATTTTCGCAAAGGAAAAAGTTACTTAGAATGACCTCAGCTACCCAACATTTTCGTATTGCGAGACATTTTTGGGACACCCTGTATATAGTGTAATCCATATCTGGGTGACGGCTATGTTTTCGCAGTTTTATATTAACAAATTATACTTATATTTAAATTTGTACTTAAAATATCATAACGTTTTATTAGTTACGATG